ATATATAAAACCCTGTTTTGTCCCTTCCATACTGTTACGAATTTGGTATTTAAAAAAGCTAATGTTAGTTCAATTATAAATTAAATGGTTTTATTTCCCGCGCAGTGCAGCGCGTGACGAATATTTGTTGGAAAATATAACTTATTGTAAACCTTTTACTGCATCATCTCTCCTCCTCGAAATGTTTATTTAGTTTAGTTCTTATTTTAATGTAATATAGTAGTTACTTCTACTTCTTTTTCTTACTGCGACTGTTTGCTTTGAGAACGGACTGTTTCAACCTAATTGAGATGCAAAAACGAAACGTCATGTTACGTCATCTGGAAAGCCGATTCGTGCCGATAGCTGATTGGTTGCCGTGAGATGACGTCATGCCTACTTCTGCTATAAGTATTTTGCGTCGCTCTGGCTCAACCTCTATTGAGCATCAAGTCAATTACTTATGCAAAATTTTTCCTATTTCTGCTCACTTTTAGTAATTCTGATGTGGAGGTACATGGTTTTGAACCATAGGCACTCCGAAACTTGCAAATCATTAGCATTGGCTCAACCCTCCTTCTAGTTCTTGCTTTCCTGGCACTTGGGTGTGCGGTTTCCAGCCCCTTCAGATGGATGCATGCAGTCCGGTGAATAAAGTTCCTTGGTTCCTGTTCACAAGATGACTGTTCCTGAATAAACTTCCTTGGTTCCTGTATACTGGTTGTTCCAGAATAAGTTCCTTGGTTCATATCCACAAGATGATTGTTCCAGAAGCTACCATGTGAGTGACTGCGGTGGGCGGCATCCATGTTCTTCAATGAAGGCGACATTTAAAATACGTGAGCGGCGATTCCTCGTGTTCAACTAATGCAAACGGAGTTAGGCCGGTTTTGAGTGCTTTCAAGAACTTGATTTAAATTTCAGGTTTTTTCTCAACCAATTGATCATGGGACGTTTTGACTGTGTAGCCAACTTCATTTTTTGGGCCGCATAATTACCGTTTAGGACATTTTTGTTTGTATTGAATGCCATTGTTTTTGGAGACCAGGTAAAAATGTTATTTGATGAATGATAGTTATATTATATTTTTCCTAAGACTCTGATATTGTTTAAACTTATTTTCTGTGTTTTTATTCTTCATTATATTGTTAATAAATTGGTTAAGTTCGAAATTTTTTATTGTCTTCAATGCCTGCACAACATTATCTCAGGGAGCTTTTATTGCTACTATTGTTAAATGTTTAATTTTTTAAAACTTTAAACTTTGCTTTAGCATCAATATTAAAAGAAACCGAAGCTGGAAAATTGAAAATACAAGAGCACGTACATTAAACATTTAATAAATATCTCTTTGATTTCGAGAAAGTACTAGAAAATTCTCGCGCGCAATTTTAAAATCTTATAAAAGGAGGAAAACCTCTCAGTTCGTAGTAGTTACTTAGTTTGTTGTTGTATAGAAAACTGCTCTTGTTGACTGTAGCGAATTTGTGGATTAGCTTTCTTTAGCTATTCTGAATTAAGTTCTCTTGAACGTTTGAGTAGTTAGAAGATACTACTGTGATATTGCACGATTATTTGAGGACATTTAATCATATCTGTTGTGATAATAAATTTTCTTCATTTTTCATCGGACTTGTACATTCATTTCGTAACAAACCCGTATGCACGCAACAATACTATATGGCTGCGATTACTGGGCAATGACTAAAAGTAAAAGTAAACTACTGATCTTTGAACGTAAAATACTACAAAAAAATTTGCCGCTGTTCATGAAAATGGTCTTTGGAGATCAATGTACAATCATGAAATCTACCAAAAATTTAGACAGCCAGATACTGTCAAGGTCATAAAAAGCCAGAGGATTCAAAGGGTTGGATCATTTATACAGAACTGAAGACACAAACCTAGTAAAACAACTCCCATTTATGAAACCTATGGAAGCTAGAAAGCGAGGAAGTCTACCAATTAGGTGGCTTGATGCTGTTGAGGATTACATTAATACCATACATAAGGGAAACTGGAGGAGTATTGCCATGACAAGGTCCAGATGACATTAATTAGACTGATTGAGATTGCCTTGGCCAGCAGTAAGCTGTAGTGCCTCAGATGAAATAATGAAGAACCTGTATAAATGTGTGTTTCTCACACTGTGATGAAGCAATGGTACCTGGGACTATCAAATTTTGAATAATGTATGTCTCTGCACGAATATGGGCAGTCTGGGAACCCAAATCTGGAATTTGTTTTATTATATGTTTCACAAAATGAAAATAAAATTATTTTACTAACAGCAAATACTAAAGCAAACTCCGCATAACTATCCAACCATAACAAAAGCTAAACAAATTTATATTAAAGTAAATTAGGGATAGGCATGGCTATTTAAATTAGGTAGCATTCTACCTCATTTATGCCCACGTAAGGGCGCTGCATATACAGCTAGTACTGTGGTTGTTGTCAATCAGTCATTTGAATTGCCAATATGTGTAAAACCTTTGATTTAGACACCTTCAATCCTTGGCTGGATTAAAAAAGTAGACATTTGATGCATGGGCCATTCCAATTTTCGAAGTCGTCAGAGAGCTAAGATTTTCAAAGTTGACAGTGGCAAAAGTATACCAAGCGTACACGGAAGGTGGGGGGGGGACTAGTGATCAGGCAAACTGCAAAGAACAATTAGCCTTGAACATGGGGAGCATGAGACGTCTTAGCCATACTGTACACAGCCAGTGAAGCCAAACTTTTGCTCAAATTACTACCCAGCTGAATCAGGGTGCCAGTCATATAATCAGTAAATGGACCAAGCACCCACAATGATACCATTGCTCAATGCACGTAATAGAGCTGCCATGTCTTGCCTGGGGAAGAGAACACAAAATATGGACTCTGCAAGACTGGAAACAGGTAGCATGGACTGATGAAACTCAGTCTGGATTCCAAATATTCAATGCTGAAGGAAGGCTGAGAATATGACGTCAGGATTATGATGCCACGGATCCTGCATGCCAGTTTGGAACTCAATAATGGTCTCGGGCATAATCCCTTAGCAATACTTAGGATCTTTGGTACTTTATCAACCAACGACTTCATACAACAGGTAGACGGCTCATCCACAGGGAATTTGTCTGCTAGGCCGTCTCCAACATATACCACGTAACTTATGGTCTTGGCGCTCTTGGAGAGTAATAGCTTAGGTTGTTCATTGCCAGTTTGGTGCGCTTTTGATATGGCAGGTAGTGTTTTTTATTTCCATCTGCTGGCAGTCAGCAGACAACGAATTAGGTTATTCGATTTTTTACAAATATTTTTAGATATAACTTAAGCCCTTTTTTCCTGAATATTTTATCTACATTTTTAATTATCGCTTTAAATTAATTACACCGTTGTTTAAGATGTTTCGGTTAAATAATTTTAGTAATAAAATCTAAAATAATAAAAAAATGAGATGGAAATTTTGAATAACATTTAAAAATTAATCGCACTACCTTATATAATATTTGATAAGGTAAAAAAACTTGTTTATTTTTAATGCATTGCATCCTAAAGAGAAAAAGAAAATCGCATTGTAATATATGTATTTATGCAATTGATGAAATATATACAGTCAAAAGTCTTTAATCCGGACCTCATTGTTAAAAATTTTCTGGGCATGCGTCAACGCATTGCATGCACATAATACCTTTACACATGCATGTTTAATGTATAATGGACAGTATAAGCTAAGCTAAAATTATCTAATTATCTATTTCAGTTAATGCTCCAGATTGGGTTGTTCCTTAATCTTCGAATTGGATCCGGCTTATTATTTTTTGCAAACTGTTAGAGCAATTTTATAAAAAAGTAAGCTTGAACTTTCGATTATGTCAAATAGAATTTCTGATATATATTTACTAATATGTAAAGGATTTACAAAGCGAAAGTATATTTCGAAGTTCATTAAACAAAAAGTGGAACTGCTGCAAAAAATGGATAAAGGCATATCCTTTGTTTATCTTTAACACCGCGGAGGACATGCTATCAATTGGAAGTTGATCTGTCAGCACTATCCTTATCTTCAGGGCAGATGTTTTTATTTTATTTGGCTTATAATTCCTTTCTAAATGTAGTATTTCATCTCGATGTACTTCGACTTTGATATGATTTAAATCAAATTCTTCGTCATGAATACACATAAAATAGTTTTCTGGTTGCAATTTTCTAATTTCGACATGCATAATGTATGATTTACGCATGCGCACGTTGAAAGAAATGTTTAATAAAGTAAACAAACAAATATTAAACTTTTTTTTGTAAATTTTGATATCCTTTAGATCATAAATTACAGTTTCATATTTTTAATTTTATATTTTCTGCATGCCATCTTACCAGATTTAAATTGATGATCTATAATCCGGAATCGCCAAAGTCCTGACGTGTCTGGATTAACGACTTTTGACTGTATAAATTTTGAAATCTGACATTACACATATATTTCAGTTCCTAAATGTCACAACTTCCACTTTTCTTCCTAGAAATCCTATACCATTTTTGAAGAATAAAACACGGATTCAAGAAAAAGGCAAATACCAGTAATTAAATACTGCAAATTCAAAATTTCTGCCTTTGTAGGCATACAACATTTGAATTTGATTATTATTATTTTTTTAAGCAGGCATTTTAACAATTACAACTACTAGAATATTATGAAGCTTTAAAAAATATTTAAACTACATTAAAATACTTTTTTAAATTTTTTATTTTCTAGAATAACCGCGCATTTCACTAAATAATCGGGAAAAACCATAAGATATTGGATTTAAGAATTTTTCCAAACTTGATTTTTTAATTGCTAAAATATTTGCATTATTTAAATACTTATATAATTCAAAGTACACATTTATAACCAGCAGTTGATAATAAGGGCACATTAGGACTTTAAAGGATATTTTCTTTAAGGATTTTGTGTACACTTACCAAGCTAATTTTGATGAGCGATTTTATATGGCATGTTTCAGCAACATATGCAAAAAACTGTCACACTATCTAAAGTAATTTCAATTTATTTAAAAAGACAAAAATGATTTAAGTACAATGAAATAATATGAAATTTTAATGTAATAAAAATGGATTTGCTACATATAAAAACAGATTGCAGATATGTTTTTTTTTACAAATAATTTCAATTTTGTATATGATAAAACAGAACATTTTTAACCAGACATTAATTTAGCAAACTTGTAAATAAAGGTCAACATTTAATTGAGCACTGATTATTTTTGGTATAAACTAAAAATATAAAATCAATATTCTTTACATTATAAAACTACTGAAAAAACACAAAAAGTGTACTTTAGATCACTAAAAGCTGAAATCATAAATACTTTACACATTAAAATCAAAGCTATTCTAAAAATCTTGATATATTTCAAATCTTTCAAATTATTCTATGTAACTTATTCACTTTTGTACCTTTAGCAGATCTATGTATAAACATACAAATTGCAATATTTTATTATTACACGTACAAAAATTTCAAGTCTTTTGATATTGGAAAAACCTTGAGCACAGATCTTTTGACTTTCCTCACACAGGTTCTATGGCAATATCTTCTCCACTTTTGTCATTTTTATCCATCTGATGGTATTACCAGTCAAGAAATGACTAGACATGATTTTACACTTAAATGCATATCATACAGGAGGCTCTATCTGTAATAAAATGATACATTTTCAATCACAATTTAAAATTAATTCTGCTATGCATTAAATTTAATGAATGCTGTAATAGAGCTTTAGATTCCGCTGTAAAAGTAGCAGTAATTATATACTGCTATTACAATATTTATCTTTAAGATTTATAACACCTGACACTTTATTTTTTAAGAAAATTATGCAGAAGAAAGGACACAATCATTCACTAAATTTTCAAAGCATGTGTACCATTTTACATTTAAAAAGCCACAATTGTAAACAAAAAAACTTTCTACGAATTTAAAGATATACTTGATATACGAGTTTCTTGTAAAACTGAGAGAAAAATGATTAGATCAACTGATTCACATGAAAATATTTTTTTCGTAGAGATGGGCAAATGAGTCACAAAGGCAGATGGAAAAGCATTAACAGGAAAGCATGGGGGGTAGGAGTGTGCTCATATATGCTGTTATGTCTGCACCAAAATTAGGTCAAATGCTTTTTAGCAAATGGATCAACTGACAACTCCACAAGAAAACATCTTTTGGGGGGCAGGGGGTAAAAAGGTCAGAAAGGCAGGTAGAAAAACACTTATAGTGGTCAACATGTGGTGGGAGTGTATTTGTACAGGCTGTATGTCTGTACCAAAACTAGGTCAAATGCTGTTTCGCAAAATTGTAATAGATTGTTTAAAATAACTAAATGTCTTTAATGGAATGAACAAAGGGAAAATTATGCTTACCAGATTTGCAAATTCCCCATGCTGGAGACAGGAACATTCATGCGTTGAGACCATGTTAGCATAAAACCTAACATCTGCATCTGAATCACATTGAAGAGTATGTATAGTTTGCAGTAATAGATCCCTATGTGGACTATCTGGATTGGAGAATGTGTCTACATAAAAAAGTAATTACAAATAAGAATATTGCATATCTTCAGATGACTTAATAAGCAATAATAATAAAATTAAGTCTGTGCTTTGTCCAAATAAAAGTTCATATTTTGACTCAATTGAACTGTAACTGTGACTTTAAAAAAAATTGTAACTGTGACTTTCTACAATTTTTTTAATACACTACAACTTAACATTATACAGCTGGAAAGTAACATACATTAGTAGAATAGCTATGTTCCCTGTTGGCAGCAGTTAAAATTCAGGAGCGGCAAGTTTCTTTCTCAGCAGAACACTAGTCATGTGAAATACTTTTCACAAGAAGGAATTGATTCTTAAAGCTTACTTCATATTTCTATTGTTAGATCCATATTTTATTCACAATAACCCTATTATATTACTAATTCATATATTTCATTTTCTATATATCTTTTATCTCATTTGCATGCTTATTTTTGGTTGCATCATACCTTGTGACAGTAAAAATCAGATTTCTAGAAAAAATTCTGAAGAATGCAAAATTTGTACTTCCCCCCCCTCAAATTTATGCCACTGAAACATAATTAAAAAAATTAATGCCCCTTTATTAACATATTCACAAAGCTGATTTTATATCTGAAGTATTCAGCTTCATAACTCTAATTATACCCTCATATTGTTTCCCAGTAATTTTGAGAAGCAGAAAGTACCAGAAATAACTTAGCAGCTTGTTAAAAGCTATACAAGGCCAGCGAGAGCATCTGCTTTCAAGTTCAGCATGAACTGAGATATCTCCGAGTTAGGTTTCTCTTTAGATGTGCTTTACACTGCACTGTGTTTAATATTATTAGTAGTCTGAAGTGTAACTACTGATTGTACCTTGTGATACTGTGAACGCCCGTACAAGTATTTCTGTGGAAAAAATTCTAAAACTTTTAAGTTTTTTTTTTAATAAAATAAATTTTTATTAACCTATCATTGAACCTGTGCGCATTCTATCTATTATGAACCCGCACACACACAACAGTATACTCATTTTTCAATAACTAAGTTCAGACCTGTTTTTCAGATTTTGTTTAGAATACACAGAAAAAGAGTGTTAACATTAAAGTTATGTTGTTTTCCTTTGTGAATGAGAAATAGACCCTGAGATCTCAAACGTGGATGATATTAAGGGATAATACTTTTCTTATTTAAAGTAGCAGAAAATCTAAAAAATACAAAAACTGCAAAATTATTCCAAGTGAAGATACTCAATACAGTTCATTATATATATCTGATTTTTACACATTTGGAGGTTTTGCTACAGCAGCATGAATTAACATTAAGTGCTTAAGAAGCTGGATGGAACCAAAAGACATTACAGTCAGGCTCAAATGCATTTCAATTGAGAAAAACATAGCAGACAAATTATTCCAAAAAACAGCGATACTGCTTTATAAATAATAACTTTTAAACTGTTTCTTACCTAGAGGCCATATATAGACTGCTAAGCACCTTGCAATTGCTATTCGGACATTAGGAACTCTATCCCAACATAAATAGAGTAGCTGTGGTAAAGCATCTTCAGCAAATTGGTCAGGAGGAAGGGAATTTTTAACAACGAATTCTTGGCAAATGTATACGTATCTAACAAATAATTAATAAAATAATAATTGAACATCATGCAAAATTTTCTTTCAACAAAATTTAAAAATAATAAAAAGGCAATTAAATGTATACAAAACACTTACAATTGACGGTGCAACCATTTTGGAGCCTGAACAAATTTTTCAGCAAGTTCAGTTAAAACTGCCTTGGTCAATACTGGTGTAGGACTCTGACTCATTCTCTTCATCACAGCAGCCATCTAGCAATTATTTATGTATTAAAAATGTAAGACATAATTAATCACTCATTAAGAAAACAAAAATCTGAGAAACAAACAGAAACAAAAATATATGAAATCAAATGATATGACACTCAATTACTGCAACACAAAAGTCAAAATATAGAACTTACAACTCGCACTGCAGCCCGACGAACTTCACAGATTTTATCCCTGATCAAAGTTAGAGTAAGAGGCACCAAATGTTCTCGGACGTCTTCAGGTTCAAATAAGTCTGCTACTAATACCAACTGCCTAATAAAGATTAAAAGCTTAGATATTTCTTCCTTTAAGGAGTTTTACAATATACACAAAATAAACAAAAGAAGAAAAATCCCTGTTCTCATGTTAGCACCTTGTTTTGCTTTGTTTACATAATTACAAGAAACAGTCTGTTAAGTTAATGTTTTTAAATATTGCACAGGCCAGTGATAAAGATGGTATAAAGCTATGAAATTTGACACACAAGTTGTCTAGAGAAAATAACATCCCACTTCTCCTAAAAAAAATTAAACTTTACACTAAAGTCACTCTTTCTATGGAATTTGTGCATATATCATAGCTGAACCTGAAACCTTAAAAACCCTGGAAATTTTTGCTAGGATGGTTTACCCATCGCGCAGCATACAATTTCAAATGAACTCCAAACTAACTTTAACTTTATAATGCATGTTTCAGGTTATTAAACTATTTGCAATTTAATTATGATGTAAAATATATCAGCACTTATTGTAAACTGATAAATTTTATGTTCTTTGGCTAATTTCAGTTTTAAATTTTTATTTTTCACTTTCAAGCAAGAAATTTCTGAGGACATCTGTTTTCCATTCTATAAATACAGAAGCTGGACTTCAACTACAGAAATACATTTTAAAAATTACAACAGGAACAATTCTTAAGAGAAAATTATTTTAAAAGTTGATTTACCACATGAACATACTACTATAAAAGTCTGGTAAAATTTAAGTTACAGGAGTTTCTATACTTCTTCCTTATCTATTAATATGAAATTACTGAGATGTTGTAATTTCTTTTTTCATGTCAGCCATTCAAATCTGCATGCGTAAATTTTAAGAAAAGCTGTAAAACTGATTTAAAGCAATATCAATTTATGAAAGAGCTGCACGCTAGCAATCAAAATTTTAAGCACTTACTAAATAAGAATTCAACTGTCAACTACCTTGCTTCCTCACATACTTTCCCCCAAGCCTTTTTAATGGCGGGTTCTGAAAATTAGAAAGATATTCCTATAATTTTCTCCTTCCTCAATGCGTTCAAAGAATGAGCTCTCCTAAATTTTAAAATGGATTCGTCCACAAAGTGATTGTTTTTGTCTAAAGATGAATCCTCACAAACTATCTGCAAAGGTCACAATATTCCCTTCTACTGGCTAGTCAAAGCAAACACAAACTGACATTCAGTCTCTGCTTTTGCTACATCCCCAGCATATTCATCTTCTCTAATTAATTAGCAATGATTTGAGGCCTAAGGAGTAGCACAGACAACAATAAAAATGGGCAATATTTAAGCTACAGTGAAGTACAAATGAAGTTTTCTTTAGATATTGAAACATTAATATTACTATGCATTCTTATTAGAATGTAGATTTGTTTTAAAAAATTATATTGTGATAATTACGAGTAGTTTATCCATGACTACTTCTCATTTGTTCTTATTGCAACTGCATATTTTGGAAATTATTTGCACACACATGCACATTCATATAAACATAAATGAAATTAATGATTATCTTTTCTTAAATAATGTTGATCAATGTATAAATATTTACTCTGCAAGAATAAGACGGAATCTCCAGTTCTTTTCATTGCTATCAGCATCACTTGAGGAAACAAGAAATTCGGGTAAACTTGGAAGAAATCCTCTTCGTTCCTCAGGCCGTAACACCTAAAAATTTTTAATGTTTTGGTAATTACACCTCACTTGCAACAACTTTTAGAAAAACAAAACATAGAAATATATATTCATATTTAAAACAAAGCAGGCAGGAGAGATCATAAGAACAAAAGATATGAAAAAGCTGAATGCAGTAAATAATTATCTGTTAAAAAAATTTTTCAATATGCATATGCATAACATAGAAAAAGATAAGTTTTAACATTCCTATCAAAAAAGAAATTCAGAAAAAAATTTTTTGAATTAGTCTTGCTGAACCTTTCTTGGAAAACATTACATTTAGAAATACAAAGACCTTTCCTTGAATCAAATACAAATATGGATTTAGAAACATTTCTGCAGACATACATGAAAGACAATAATTATACAGAACATGCTAAGAGTGCAAAATAATATGGAAATGTTAGCAATGTCTTCCTTTCGTTATTACTCTGCTATCATCAATTGAGAATGCAAAATACTTATTTATTACTTATATAAACACTTATTTTATATTTGGACTGTAAATAAAATTTACAAGCTTATATTTAAATTTCTATTACTTTCCTAGGTTACAAAAATGGAAATGTATGTTTTATCTTATATAGTCAACTTATACCCTTATATATTCTAATTCAACAAATACATATGATCAGAATGGGTTAAATTTATGGATATATCACAGAGTTGTGAATGAATATTTTTTATGGCAAATTGCAAGTTAATCTGCCATTTTTTAGAAGACTATTTTCTGCCTTATTTGAGAAAAATAGATGCCTAATGTAGGGTAAAAATTCAGTATTTGCTTCATGAAATAATATCATAATGTTGCATCTGCATACTTTTTAGATATTTCTACACTCTTAAATCTCAATTTCAAATTGCATCTCTTAATGACTACAGTATATCAAAACAAAAAGTATTCTTAAATGGTAAGCATTTTATACAGTATCTATACATGACTTTGCCATGTATCTTAAATGGTAAGCATTTTATACAGTATCTATACATGACTTTGCCACGTATAGTTTTGGATAATTTAACAAGAAAAATTGCCCTTTAAATTAATAACAATTTTGGTCTTTAATTTCTACCATCAACTATGAACATTTATATGATATTCTTGAACATAAAACAAAACTCAAATATTTCCCAATATAACTTTTTTTATTACATATAAGAACACAGATTCATAAAACACACACAAATTTTAAAAAAGGAAACATTAACCTCGTAAATACACATGCATAACTAAAAATACGCAAAACATAATTTGGGGGAAAAAAAAAAATCTTTAAATTACCTTAAGAAATTCATACATGTGTTGTAATATCCCAACTCTCACTTCATCCAGGTCTGTAATAAATCGTGAGAAAACAGGTAAAAGATCCCTGGATGTTATGTCCGGACCTAATATCACAGCTAGTTGGTGCATAGAAGAGGCAACAGTACGACGCACTTTCCACATCATAATGAATCCCTTAAAAATAATTAATTTTCAGTCAGTTTTTTTATAAAAAGAGACTTGTATACGAGGGGGGGATTCAAAAACCCAATCGGAAATCCCTGATAAAAAACATGTTTATTTTTTAAAACAACAACAAAAAAAATTTTTTTTAATACAATTTTAACTTTAAGTCTTTCCACTGGTACTAATGCATTTGACACCAGATTCAATCCATTATTGGAAGCACCTTGCAAATTCGGCCTCCTTCATACCCGCCAACGGCATCATAATATCAGAATCTTCATTTGGTATTCTCAAAAATACTTGCAAGATAAGTAACTTTTCATCTGACCTAACAACTCCATGGGAGACAAATCAAGATAACTGGACATGTGGGTCAAGATAATTGTCTGTCTTGAGTCATGGCCCATGAACAACTCACTGGAATACCACAAGGCAGAGCATTTTCATGCAACACTTCTGACCAAACTAGTCAATTGTTCTGCATCAGTCTTTCCTGATGAAATCAAGGATTTTGGCAATGCTGTCCTCTGTTCGCACATTTGAAGGAGCCCTTTTAAACTGAGAAAACCATTTGTATACTTGTCTTGGACTAAAAGCCTGCCTGCACCATCACAACAGTTTCAGATGCATTCTTGCCCAGTAAATAAAAATTGGCAGCTGCATGTTGTTCATAAGAATCTGCAATTTCTTCATGTCACAAGTGTACTGCAGACACCATAGAACTGCCAGAGAAACCAAACAGGTCACTGTAGCTTGATGCCAGCAGGCATACTGATACAGAAGAGGTCCTTCCACAGTGCCCTAGTGGTACAACCTCATACTACAAGTACACAATGCTCAGGAGTACAATTCCGTTTATTTTTTTGGTCACCCCCCCTCGTGTAATTATACCGGTTACGCCCCCAAAAAGTACACAATTAAATTACATAATATACATGCCCTTTCAATAGAGTCAAAATGCTTTCCAACACAATTTATGGTGATAAAGAAAATTTAATCAGTCATAAATACAGGTGAAATCCTCAACTAAAAACTAATGATATTTTTTCGGCGGCAGACAAGATTTTCTGGCTAATGTAAGATTAAAAATGAAAGTTAGGCAAAAAAAGACAAGTGTAGGTCAGAATTTATACAATTACAGGGTTTTTAAATTTAAATGATTATATTTATTATCTAAATTTAACATTTAAATTTTGGACTTTAAAATGCACACTGCACTGATGAAACTGGTTCTTGTCGAAAATCATCATTCATCATCAAATGTTAAGAGATTAATAAGTGAAATCAATTGAATATTTTTATATGGTTAGTGTGAAGTGTACAGTGACGACCTTTAAACCTATCTTTAGGTATTTCAAGTTGTTTACTATCCTTTAAGCACATCTTTATCTGTCTCAAGGATATTGGTACATGTGTACGTTATTTAAATTATATTTATTGACTTTATTTTATACATAACATGTTCTGATAATGAAATCATGCTACAAAAGAAAGTAAATTCTGATTAAGCATCCAATGTACAAAATAACTTGATTTACATGTAAGCAGTAAGAATGGAAACAATACAGTTAACCACAATGAAGTATAAGCATCACAGAAACGAGGTTTAGTCCTATACCTTTTACACAGTAGGCTAAAACTATTTCTAAAGCAGACATTTTTAGAAATAACTGGAAGCATGCACTACAAATAACATTATGTATAAAGTGTAATTAAAAATGCCTGAAGACATTATTGATATATCATGCATGTGTAGAGAATGATGCATTACCTACTAATACTCTCTGTTTACACCGGTATTTTGTCCTAGTCAGGACACACATGTAAAACCACAGGCTATAATATGGAAAGGAATACATTAGCAAGTTCAACACATCTAAAATGATTCCTTTATTTAAGAACAACATTAAATAGGACCCTGAAAAAGATTTAATCAATGAAATTTTAAAAAAGCAGTTCACACAAGCCAATAACCTCTTTCCTGCCTAGTTGCATCTACTGTTCAAGTGATTTTTGTTTACTTGAGAATTGAAAAGCCTAGAGTGCATGCTTGACTGAAACTGTCCTATCACAGGGAAAGATAATACCATTTTGTCAGTACTGGGAATAAATTAACTACCATTACTGACAAGATAATGGCTTTTTCATGATGCTATATTTTATTATTTTATCTTTGGTTATTTGACTTAACAGAGTTCGTAGCCACCTTTTAGTTAAAAAATAAGCACCTATAAGCACTTTTCAAGGACATTTTAAGGAAAAAAATCAGCACCTGTCTAATTACATTATACACAACTGCAAAACCTTAAAAGAAAAATTTGACTTGTAATTTAAAATATGATAAATTCAGTATTAAGAGAGAATGAGCATTACTCAACCATGGAAAACAATTACATTTTTTTAAAATATTAAATAACAGTTTAATTTACAGAACTAATTTACAAAGAGAGAAAAAAAAACTGCAGAAATAAATTATATTACAAGATTTAATGATAAAATTTCAGTTCAAAATAGAGAAAATAATAATAAGCCATATTTATTATATTCACCTGGCACCTAAAAATACAATTTATTTTTCCACTCATATTAATATTTAAACAATATAACTTAAAATTCTGAATATTTTCTAAATTTTCATAGTATAACAGTTTTCCCTTAACAAATATTGCAAGCAAAGTAATTCAAGTAAAAAAAGGAACTTTTTTTAAATCAGAAGACGGGAAATTGCTTCATGCAGTCGTCCTTTAACAGTAAAAGCTTAACTAACCGGCATACTCAGAAATTGCCGAATATCTGAAAATTCCGGACAGTCGAGCGTAACTGGCAAAGAGGAAAGGGGTTAGATTGTAGCTATTCTTTAGATTGATCTTACCAATCTGGGGTGTTTTTCATTCTAATTTTGAACACACTGTGTTAAATTTTCGGAATAGAATCATTCTTTGCTTGGCTTGGTAGACAACATAACTTTTAGTCATATTCAATCCAGATTGGAAAGTGACCAAAAAAGTCTGTTGCTTGCTTTGCTGAGAACTGTAACGGTTTCCATATTCAAGATTTTGTGGAGAAAGGGGAGAACCCCCAGCTTCCGTACTGTATAATGCATAGCCCCCCAATTTTTTTTTAACTATTCGATTACTTTCACTTTATTTATGCCATTTGGAATATTTGTGTTAAAACACACTTACCCATTTCTGAAGTTTATCTATACTTTAGCAGTTACTGCAAATATATTACTATAAATATTTATACATATGCTCATAATATAAGCATACCGATCATAATAAACACAAACATGAACTGACCACGCAGAACAAGAACGTAAATTATTAAAATCTTGATAGAAATTCAAACATTTGTACTATTGGATGGGTGTAAAAGAATACGGAATGTACCAGAATTTTCTACCGCTTTCACAATTCTTTGACCAATAGAACGACATGCACCTATCTGTGCTCTTACACACCAAACGTTATGTTAATGCAGAGAAAGGGGCATAAAGCTATTTTTGGGAGTATGATTCACCATCTGACATTCCATATAAAGAAGAAAAGTTATTTAGTTTTGGCTTTGGTACAGGGGGAAAACGTGCATTCATAAAAAAAGGGAGGAGCACTAAAAGCAAAAAAATAAGCACTTCAGAGAAAAAGTAAGCATCTATAAAAGCTTATATTTTATTTTGAAATATATGGACTTATAAACACTTATAAGGACGGCTACAAACTCTGCTTGAGTAATCAGCAACAATTTATGTATACAATCATAGAAAAGGAGTACAAACCTGCAAATCTGAAGAGAGTGCATCAAAAGCTTCCTTCAGACATGGCCAGAACCTGCGACCTAAGGTAAGAGCAACAGCGGGCAGACTGTAGGCACAATGGCGAGCAATTTCTGCATCTATCGTTTGAGCCCAAGTAGCATCGGTCATGTTTAAATATCGAGACAAAAGATCAGGAGGTACTATATCCTGTAAATTTTAAGAACCCATATGTAACAGCTACAACTTGAAATTTGCAATATTAAAAAATACTGCAATAAAAGATCAATTTTATGTATTACTTCTAGTTTTCTCTATTCCTACTTTCATTACATGTGCTAATAATGATAAGAGCTATATTTTGAAGGGTATAATAAACATGTGTAGTATTTGGATGGGAGGAAAAGAATACCGAATGTACCGGAATTTTCTACTGTTTTTGTAATTCTTTGACCAATAGAACGACGTGCACCTATCTGTACGCTCCCGTGCACCATAGGTTACATTAATGCAGAGCATGGAGGTAAGGAAGGAGTGGCCAACCGGCACTAGAAGTGAAGCACTGCTTCAAAGCTTCGGTCACCAGATGGGATGCTTTGTTTACATTCAGAAGCTTGCTTGACAGTGTTTTGATAGTATTTTGACACGCGACAGTTCCATACAAATTGAAAAAGGGACACTTTCACATAAAAAAAAAACATTCATAGTGTGATAGATAATAGCAATTTGTATAGTTTAGTGACATTTACGCAAAAATCACATCTTGGTTATTTTTCCGATAACTAACAACAGCGATTTTGATTATGAATTTGTTTTATAAAATTCTAAGCTGTTGAACTACAAAAATATAAATTTTAACAAAAATGTTATGCTTAAAGAATGAAAAATACCTTATGGTACCTTTAAAATTGTATACTCTTAGAAACTCAATATACAGTATAGCAGAGAGTGGTTACTTGCATGCATGAGAATACACAGCATACCTGTTGGGAGTTTGGAACACAAGTGAAGTTTTATTGGAATGCACAGTTATAGAAAAATATAAAAACAGTGGCGCCATCTATGGGCCAAGAACATATTTAAAGCTAACCTTTTTTACACTCCCACTTTAGATTTAAATATCATCCTAATTAAATACAATGAGAAATTACACATACATATAATAAAACATTAAATTACATTGGTCTTCATTTTAAACCCACCATCTTTGCACACATTTCATGTTTTGCACTGTTTACATTTTTTGTCAAAAAATCTGCAATAATTAGTAGTCTTATATTATATGTCAATGTGCTGAAGTTTCACAGCTTCTCGTCGGAATGATGTTGTATATTAATATGTTTTGATCTATGATACACACTATTTTTGCTGAGATTAATAGCACTGTTATTATCGCAGTATAATAATACTGGCTTTGCAGTAATAATCCCAAGTTCTTAACAATTTTGTTGAGCCATATGGCTTCTTTAGTAGCTGCAGAAAGAGCCATACATTTGGCTCCTGTTGTACTAGTTGTAATGGTAGGTTGATGCTTACTACACCATGACACAGCACTACCTCCAATGAGGAAAACATATCCAGTGGTTGATCGTCGATCCGCAGCATCACCTCCATAGTTTGAGTCGCTGTAGCCAAGGACATCAGCACTATAGTCCTTTGAAAAAGACAGTAGCATCTGTAGTGGCTCAAAGATACCGCATGATGCGCTTGACAGCATTCCAATGAACCCTTGCCTGATTATTGGAGAACTGGCTAAGGAAATTCACAGCATAAGTTATATCTGGCCATGTTGCTTGAGCTGCATAAAGAAGACTCCCAATGGCAGCCTGATAAGGAACAGGTAGCTTTTGTTCCTTACTAGTTGGTACCTGCAGTTTAGATAACACTAGATTTTGGTCTAATGGTGTTTTTACACCATGAAATTCATGCATATTATATTTGCAAAGCATACTCTCTACATACTTAGTTTGACTAAGGCTAATGGACCCTTTAGTTCTATCTCGTTCAATTTTAATTCCTAAGCAATAATTTGCTGGGTTCAAGTCTCATTTCAAATTTTTCTTTAAGCTGTTGTTTTACCCAATTTTTAAGTTCTATATTATTACTAAAAATGAGTAGTCATCAACATAAATAGTAACAATAACAAGTTATTTATTTCCATTTATTTTAATATAGACACAACTATCAAAAGAACTTTGCGTCAGTCCCATTTCTATTAAACCCTTTTCTAACAGTTGGTACCAAAGTCTATCACTCTGCTTTAAAGCATCTAATGCTTTGTTTAATTTTAGGACCTTTCCCTTTAAGTTTTGCTTTAAAATTCACTGAAACCATTTGGAATTTTCGTATAAATGTCTTAGAGTTCCCTGTGCAAAAGCCATTACAACATCCATTTGTTTAGTTTCCCAATCATATATAGCTGCATAAGCTAATAAAACTTTTAATATTACGTATTGGACAACTGGTGTAAATGTTTCAGTATAGTCTATTCCCTCAATCTGATAATAGCCCTTAGCAACTAAACGTGCCTTATATCTTTCAATCTTGCCTACTGAATTACATTTAATTTTGAAAACCCATTTACAATCTACAATGTTCTTATTGTTCATTTACAGTCTACAATGTTATTTCCCATGTTTTGTTTTTAATATGACATAATATAGTCTCACATATAGAGTCCTTCCAATGGTTTCATCATTGCTCTTTAATACTTCATCATCAATGGCTTCGGCTCAGAATACACATCATTTGTTGCCGCTGCCAAAGCTGTTAACAAAGCACATACAATCTAAATTTGGCATTCGCACTTCTGGCATCCCGTGTGTTGTCAAAGTCCTGATAATCTTTTCGGAAATCTAAGTTTTCTGTTTCTAGTCAACATAGGTAGCTCATCAACTACACTACTGTTATCATGGCTATCATTTTGAGCAGTATTATGTTCATCGTGATCAGATTTAATACTAGCATTAACTAATTCATGATCAGACTGAATATTATCATTAACCATTCCTTCCAATTCATCGTTCTGATCATCAGCTATTGCATTCTCAGTATCTGAAAATGTAATCACGCTTCCACTGAATGAGGATTCATCATAGGATTTTGGCATATTACTTGCCTTTTTGTAATACATTTCATTTTCCAAAAATTGTACACCTCGTGCATTTATTATTTCATAAGTTTTGGGATCTATTAATCAATAGCCTTTTCTATCCTGACAGTACCCAATTAATTCCTTTGCTTTTATATCCCACTTTTTACGCTTTTGTTTTGGAATGTGAGCAAATGCACAACATCCAAATACTCTCCAAGTATTCTAAATTTGGCTTATTCCCATACCATCTTTCATAAGGGGTCATACCTGCAATTGCAATAGTTGAAGATATATTTTTTACAGTGATTTGCAGTCTGCACTGCTTCAGCCCAATAATTTTGATCAAGGTGAGCATCCACCAACATTGATCGTGCTCGCTCTACAAGAGTTCTGTTACTACGTTCAGCTACATTCATTTGCTCTGGTGTAAATGGAAAAGATTTTTGATGCTGAATTCCATTTGATGCTAAATAGTTATCATTCTCATTGTTTACATACTCAGTACCATTATCTGAATGTAAGATTTTGATTGATTTGCCAGTTTGCGTTTCAACAAATGCTTGAAATACTTTGAATTTTTCAAAGACTTCAGATTTATTTTTCAAAAAATAAACAAAAATCATTCGCGACAAATCATCAATAAAACTAACAAAGTAGCGAGAACCACCAATTGATGTAACATTCATAGGCCCACACAGGTCACTGTGTGTATGCCTAATAACCTCTTAATAACTCTTTTGCACGCTTAGCTTTTCCCTTGGGAAATGGTTGTCTGTTATGCATTTTGTCTTTAATGCATGACACAAAATTTAACAATTTTCCATTAAATGTAAAACCTTTGACCATATCTTTTAATCTGGTCATTCCTCCTTCACTTAAATGACCCACTCTTTATGTAATAATTCATTTGAAATATTTTTAGCAGTAATTAAAGCCCACTCATTACATAAATCAAGAGAATACAAATTATCTCCCATACCTGTTCAAGTAGCAACTAAATGTTTACCATCATACACAAAACATCTTTCACTGTGTAAAAGCACTAACCATTTCAAATACTTAATGGACAACAAATTGGCTGTTAACTTCGGAACGTGTAAAACATTACTAAAAGTTACAGGCTCCCTTTTTTTATTTCTAGATAAGAGGAAAGTTATTTTACCCTTACCCTCTACTTCTATTACTGAACTTCCTGTTTTTATTTGATAAATACTAGCATCCTTTCTTTATGTGGAGCACAAGAATTATAAGAAGCACAAGAATCCATGTACCAAATATTGGGATGTAGATTAGAATTAGCTACACATAATTTCCACTACATAAGCTTCTTCCTTTTTTTTATGTTTTAACCCAACATTAGACTTTTTGTTAAGCTTGTTTTCATTATATCTACCCTTTTTAAGAGGCGACTTCTGACAATCGGACCTTTTGTGGCCAAACAAATTGCATTTAAAATATTTTCATGGAAAATTTCCAATCCATGTAATTTTCCCTTCCACTCAATTGTTTGTGACTAAATGAACTTCTCCTCCTGGCATTTTTTCTTTTTTTAACTTTTCAACAAGAAACAAAAAGAAACAAAAAATTTTAGTTTGATTCAACAAGAAACAAAAAATTTTAATTTGAGATAAATTCAAATGGAAGCACTTTCGCAGAGAACCTGGTAAATGTAAACATTGCCAACTTTGGCGATAATAGTTCAAACCTGGTAACCCATCGGATTTATTCTATTCGCTTGTTCGAAGTTTGCAACCATTCCTCGTGTTTATTTTGTTGAATTATCACTGTCGTTGTTCCCATTTGCAGGTTTATATTATTTTTTTCTCTTATTTATTAATATTTTCTGAGTTGTTTAACAACGAATAGATTGAAATATTTTCGTAGATAGATGCCGGTTCTCGGTACTGGATGAAAGGAAGGGTGAATGCTAATTTGTAACATGGCTGTTAATGTTGTGTTCTTAATTATTAACAGCTCTAAGAGAACCATGAGGTTTCCAACGTCTAAAATAATTTGTTTTCGTAGACCGCAAAAATGTGCATGTGCATTTTAAACAATTAAGTAATGCTTTTATTTTTATTATTGGTTATTGTCATCTAAAAATTATGAGAATAAA